TTAAAACAAATACAATTTTATTTTCACTATAGTAACTAGCGATGTCGGATATATTTAGTAACAAGTAAATATTTTCCAAAGATAAACTAACAGGGAATTGCCTAGAACTTGGTAAAAATCGATAGTTTTGTACTAATTCGTCGAATAACTGTTTTGGCGTAATGATAGATGGATGTAATATATTTGATTTACTGAACATAATGGCGTCAACAATGTCTTCAAGTTTAAAAGATAATGTTAATAAAGTACCTTCTAAGATATTTAACATTTGATTTAACCTAGATCTTATCAATAAATTGTCTGTAATCATAGTGACATTTTGCAGACTATGAGATAAATTTTCAAGAGCAATGTCTAATTGTTGCTCATTTATAGTAATTTTATTTATTGTCTTTTTAAAAAAGACGACAGAGTCGAGGTTGTTATCAAAATATTTTCTTTTATTAAATTAGATAATCTAGTTTGGTCATTTTCTACATTTTGAATTGCATCGCTGTATTTAATGGCGTCGTCTTCATTCATTGTACCAAAGAGGTGTTTGAATACGGTTCCGATTCCGGAAAACCATGCAGACCGCCGTGAACGACTTTCTATTAAATGAGAAATTGACTCAAAATTACGTACTATTTCATAGTAGCGAATAGATAATGGTTGCAACATATTATGACACTCGACTTCATTAAAAATATTACTGCGTCTGCATAAGTGTCGGGAGGTTCCTATCACACCGTTTAGATTATCGAAATGGGGTTTAATAAATGAAATATCATTCGGAATAACTACACTAAGATGACCATCTATTATTTTTAAAGAACCGATGGGGTCGAAATAAATTCCAGGACTATTTGCTGTTGACTGGAAGAATTGCTCTTGTGCCCAGGTCAGGCTACTGTAATAAAATTATAGAGTTAATGAATTTTATTATTTCGTATACATAAAAGAAGTTATAAGTAACTTATCCGTATATATAATTTTTTTTTTTTTTTTTTTTTATTATGAATCAATCGCGGCGCCGAGCAAGTTTCACTTCATCATAGTGGTGAGTGACGTGGCGTCTGTTTATAAGTAATGTAAGAGTATTTCTACCATTTACCTTTATTACTTTATAGGGTCCCTTCCAAATCGGTGATAGGGCCTTACGTAATCTTAGGTGGTTTTTGAGGAAGACAAAGTCTCCGACTTGATATTTCATTGAGCGCGAACGCGAGTCGTAATAAGTTTTGGACACTTCTTTCGACCTATTTATATTTTCTACAGCTTTATCTCTCGTATATTTGAGGCGGTGTTGTAACATTTTAACATAGTCCGGGTAAGTGACGTCGGAAGCAGTTTCATACACGGAATTTGGAATATAGGGTTTGTGCCCGAATACTAATTCGTAGGGTGAATATTTAGTTGTAGTATGTATAGCTGTGTTATACGCTAACATCGCTGTATAAACGTATCTCGGCCAGTTATCTTGGCTTTCACAAACATAGGATTTCAGGTATTCTTTTAACGTGGAATGACTGCGCTCTAGTGCACCTTGAGTTTGGGGGTGGTAAGGAGACGACCACAGCTGTTTTATTTTTAAGAAGTTACAGGTTTGTTTGAATAATTCAGCTGTAAAGTTGGTACCTTGATCTGTGAGGATAGTTTTAGGGATTCCAAATAAGGATATAAAGTGAATCAGACACTCACTTGTTTCTTCGGCGGTGGTGTTTCTAATTGGGTAAGCTATTGAGTACTTTGTTAAATCATCTTGGAGAGTTAATATGTATTTTAACTTAGCAGGTCCGGACTCTGGGAGAGGTCCGACTATGTCTAGGGACAATCTTTCAAAGGGAGTTGTGGAGGAACTTGTTATTTGCATAGGGGCTCTATTTATTTTGCGTAAAGCTTTATTAGTTTGGCAAGGTGAGCAGTCCTTTACATATCTCTCAATGTCACTACGCATATTCTTCCAATAATATTGTTCACGAATTTTATTGAACATACGATTTGAGCCGAGGTGTCCCGCTACAGGGATGTCGTGATTCTCTTTCAGAATCTTTTGGACTTCGCTAGGACTAGGATAGTAAATTTTATTTCTATAAATGTGAATTTCTATTTTTGTATTATGAAATAAGTATGCTAGCATATTATAGATTTTGACATAGGCATGTCTATCAAACGGGTTTCGAAAGTCTGTTAGGCTTATTTTGTTAACAGACTCGTTACTCAGGACTAAATGGTTTCTCAAACACTTCAGGGATTCAAATATGTCCATTATAACTACAGTCATCAAAGTGGTGTACTTTTAAAAATAAGAAATAATGTTGTTTTGTGTTGTGTGTAAAAACGATTTGAATGAATGTAATGTTTTTTTCGGATTGGATGAACGACTGAGACTCGGGAAAATTTGATAAGATTTCTTCGACATAGGGCATTGATTCGTCGAGGTCAATGGATGTAGGTATTATAAGGATACTATGCGGGCTTTTTAATATGCTGTCATTATGTTCGATAATTTGGGTATCATATTGCAGGTTTGGAGAGTTCTTTAAGAATTGGGAATATGAGTCGGTTATTGGAGTGATTTTTGGAATTGTTTCAGGATTTTCAACTACGGGATTTTGGTAGCTTGTGCTAGGTTGAATTTCGTTAGATTTTGTTTCAAGTAATGTAGGGGTTAGTGTTGGATTGTCAAGTAGATGCTGTGGATCTGAGTACGCAGGAGATGGCATGTTCAAAGGTGTGAAGTCTACATCTTCATTGTTAAATGGACTAAAGTTCAAAGGACCGAGGTCTATAAGTTCGTTACCAGGATTTTCGGTAGTTATAGGATTTACAGGATTTATAGTATTGATTGGACTTTCGTTACGAATAGGGTAGCGTGAGAGTGCGTCGGCTGCAGAATTAAGTTTTCCTTTTCGGTATATGATTTCGTACTCATATTCCTCGAGTTGTAAGCGCCAACGTTGCATCTTACTGCTGGGGTCAGTATGATTAAATAACCATTTTAAAGGACGATGGTCGGTAACAATAAAGAATTTTCTACCGAATAAGTACGGCCTGAATGTTTTACAGCCGTATACAATTGCTAAAAGTTCTTTTTCTGTAGTGCTATAGTTAACTTCATTTTTGTTAAGTGTTCGTGACGCGTAGGCTATAGGATGCTCTTTACCTACAGGACCTTGGGAGAGGATAGCGGATATTGCGTAGTTTGACGCATCGCAGGTGAGCGTAAACGATTTTGTGAAGTCGGGGTAGATTAGGACCGGTGCAGTTATTAATTTATCTTTAAGGTTTTCGAAGGCGAATTGTTGTTCGTTGGACCAGATAAATGGGCTTTCCTTTTTCAAGAGGCATGTAAGAGGTTTAGAAAGTTTAGAAAATTCAGGGATGAAACGCCTGTAGTATGATATAAGGCCTAAAAAGGATTTTATATCTTTAGGGCATTTTGGTACAGGGAATTCTTGAACGGATTTAATTTTATTTGGGTCAGGTTTTACACCATTTTCGGTAATTACGTGACCTAGGTAACCAACTTCCTTCCTCAAAAATTCACACTTGTCGGGTTGCAACTTTAAGTGGAAAATACGGAGTTTATGGAAAACAGCGGAAAGGTTTTGGATGTGGGATTTAAGGTCATATGAATAAATAACGATATCGTCAAGATAGACGAAACATCGTTCTCCTTGCAGGCCGGTGAGGACGTTATTCATAAGCCGCTGAAAAGTAGATGGCGCGTTTTTCAGGCCGAAAGGCATCCTTTTAAATTCAAAATGTCCTTGGGGAACACTGAAAGCAGTTTTGCATGAATCTTGAGAGGCCATTTTAATTTGATGGAAACCGGAAGCCAGATCGAGGGTTGAAAAGTACTTTGATTTGCCTAATTGGTCTAATATTTCGGTTATGTTCGGGATAGGATATGTTTCGCCAATAGTAATATCGTTTAACTTTCGGTAATCGATGACTATTCGCCATTTCTTTTGTCCCGATGCATCGATTTTCTTTGGTACAATCCATATGGGAGAGGACCAGGGAGAGATAGAGGGTTGGATGATGTCTTGATCGAGCATTTTTTGAATTTGGTTTTGGACTTCTTGTTTATGAATTTCAGGAAATCGGTAGGATTTTACATTTATAGGTTGGTCAGAGGTTGTTCGGATTTCGTGTTGGAGAGCATCAGTAAAGGTAAGTTGATCATCAGGTAGGTGAAAAATGTCGGAAAATGCACTACATATATTGTACAGGGCTTCAGATTCTTCATGATTCAAATGAGAGGTGCGGAGTAAGTTAAGCACTTCTTGAGTTCGTTTTAGGCATGTTTGATTGGATTGAGGCACATGGAGTACGTCGTAATGTAATGGATATAAGGTAAGATTAAGATTTGAATTTAACGAGACATTGTTTTCGGAGGTGTTGAGAACAGTGATGTTGACTCTATTATTATTCTTTACATTTACTAAACAATTAGCAACCAATAGGTTTTCGTTTATGTGTTGGTCCAAAATAAGCCCATTTTTTAGTTCTGGGTTTTTAATTGAACACTCTACAATCATTTCTGAGCGAGGAGGTATATTATAAACAGGTTCTGTAAAGTTAAGTTTAAGTTTATTTCGGTTTAAATTGAATACATTGCGATTATAATCAATATTACACTGATAATGGGTAAGTAAATTATTTCCAATAATGCCATCATAGGTGAGATTGATTTCTTCAACGACATGAAATGTAAAGGCGACGGTCTCTTTGCCGAAAAGAAGATCGAGTTCGAAATTACCTAAGGTAGGAACGGCATCTTTACTGTTATCTATTCCTTTTAATTTAATTGTATCCTTTTTTAGTTTCAGGTTCAGGTGCGACTGAATGGATGATTGTTTAATAAGGCAGATTGAGGATCCAGTGTCTACAAGAAAGGTAAGTGGATTTTCAGATACACTAGTTTTTATTATTACATGAGGTAGTGATTTTTTTATTTGGATTACACGTAATCTCGTAAATTACATCATCTTTTGGAATAGGGTGTAGATTTAAGTTTTCATTATTTTCAGGATGTATTCGGCGATGCTCTGACATACGTGTACTTTTATGAATTGTTTTGGAAATAGGAATAAGATTACGAACACTTGCTTGGGGCTGGTTACCCGTGTGGTTCTGTGGATTCGAGACATGAACGCTTGCTTGGGGCTGGTTACCCTTGTGGTTCTGGGATATTGAAGAATGGATATTTGAAGAATGGACACTTGCTTGGGGCTGGTTACCCTTGTGGTCCTGGGATATTGAAGAATGGACACTTGCTTGGGGCTGGTTACCCTTGTGGTCCTGGGATATTGAAGAATGGACACTTGCTTGGGGCTGGTTACCCTTGTGGTCCTGGGATATTGAAGAATGGACACTTGCTTGGGGCTGGTTACCCTTGTGGTCCTGGGATATTGAAGAATGGACACTTGCTTGGGGCTGGTTACCCTTGTGGTCCTGGGATATTGAAGAATAGACACTTGCTTGGGGCTGGTTACCCTTGTGGTCTTGGGATATATGATGAAATGGTTTCGTGTATAGTTGGCTTTGTACATGGTTTGGTAAGGTGTCATTGTGTTCAATTTGTTTGATAGAGAGTAGAGACTTGGGTCTCACGAGACACCACCGTGAGCCCGCTAATCGTTTAAATTTCCGCTATCTAGATTTTGCTGATCTGCGTCGCTATTTTCGGTATCAATGTTGTATTGATTTTTGTCATAAGAAGTACTAGGTTGTGGTTGATGAGTAATCACGATCATAATTAGTTTCCACGAAGTTTACGCGTGCTGGCTGTGTTCGCGGATATCTTTGATGATTATTATCGCGACTGTAATTAAAACGATTAGGTTGAGACTGAGTTGCATTAAACCGATTATTGTTATATTCGCGTTTTCTACACACTTCTATGGTGTGTCCTTGATTTTTGCAATAGCGACAAAATGCATTGTTTTGCATATGTATTTGGGGTTTAACATTGACATTGTGTATCGCCGGTCTGAATAAGTGATTAGATCGTTGCATATGACGCGGTGACATTGGAGTATGATTGGGTAAGTTACGTTTATACAACATTTGTTGTATCTTTTCTTCGGATACTGCTAAATTTAAGGCTTCATTCAGTTGATTAGGATTCTTACCACGGACTAAATTGGAAATGTTCGGTTTAAGACCAAGTAAAAACGTATGGAGAGCGAGGTCTTCCATTGAAGCTATACGACCTTGTAGTTCAGACTTCTTCTTGTTTGACAATGTAATTTCTGTAAGTAACTTTGACAGGCAAGTTTCCAAACGCAACGCATATGTTGTAACTGATTCATTAGGTAATTGACGGCACTCTTGTAAATCGGTTAGTAAATGTGTATAGTGTTTCTTTTCGCCAAACTGTGTAAGAAGGAAGTCGCTAAGTTGCGCCCACGAATCGTATTCTTTAATTGAAACAGCAGCGTTAGCTCTACCTCGTAATTGAGAAAGAATGTATTTAAAAACAGTCGATTTCTGTGAATCCGTTGCTAAAGACATGGCATTATCGCAATTTGTTATAAATGAATTTAATTCTTCGCGAGAGCCATCAAAAGTATTTATGAATTGGAATAGTTCTCCGGCTCGCATTGGTTCCCCTTTTTCGGCTTTAATAGTAGAATCTTTATTTGCCATTTTTAATTATGTTATTATATAAAATACGAAATTTAATTAATATTGGAATGTTACGGTGTAATAGGCGGCCAACCGAGTAACTTAATATGAGCTACTGATAAGCGCAGGTGCAGTGGCGAAGACGCTCTTCCTATGAATTATGCGTTAAGTATAATGTTATAATTCGAGAATAGTAATTGAAATGGTAATATGCGTAAGGAATTATATACTTATTATTACATTAAGTACATGAAAAGTTTTTAATTATTATTCATAGAAGTATTATAACTATTTTGAACACAACACTTTGAACATAACGAGGCACGGCTTTGTAGTATCACTGAAATTCGGAGAAGTTTTTAGCACTTACAGGATCGCGACGAAGTAGAGATGCAGGAACATATTCTTGATAAAATTAGCGCTCTTTATTCGGTCACGCTATGCAGCACGAAGACTTGTAGGCGCTCCGGAACAGGCTGGATTTGTATATTTCGCAGGAACAGGATTTTGAGGATGAGATGATTTATATTTTGCGAAGATTATTTATCTCACCCGAGTTCGACACTAATTTAGGTACAGACGTTTACTAACACTTGCACTTTACTTGTCTTATTTTCCACTGATCGCGAATTGGAGACGGACCGAGGACCAGTAGTATGATCCCTTAAGCTGCCACCAAATTTGTTATACGGTTTTCGGAATTTAGGTTTTTAAAAAAAAGTTTAAATCACAAAATATATATTTCTTATTAAAACACTTTAAAATATAATAGATCAGAATGGAATTCGAATGTCGGGCAAGTGTTACCGCTTTGGATGCTTGTGACGAACTAACTCTTCAATGCAGGGGGCATCTAGTGCTTATAAATATGCTGACAAGGGTTGGATTAGGTAGCAGGCTAGGTCAGGTCTATTATATACAGGGAGCATATATAACAGTTTCGAGCGACAAAACGCGTGAGATATAAATACTCACTATATAGAGCGGGACGGCAAGCAAAGCACGATATCAGATTTTTAAACAGATTTTGAGCGACAAAGCGCGTGAGATACAAATATTACACTGGTTAGAGCAGTACGGCAAGCAAGGCACAATATCAGATTTTTAAACAGATATTATGAATAAGTTAAGTAATTTTGAATCTTAATTCCATGCACAATAAGATCCGTTTCATTTAAATACTAATCATGGTATCATTACGATTACTACAACGATATTATTATATTTTTATTTTTTGTTTAGCCTTGAGCCGTAACAGGCGACAAAGCGCGCAGTTAAGTAATTTTGAATCTTAACAGCATGGAAAAAAACTCTGTTGCATTTAAATACGAATTACGGTATTAACGATGGCTTTAAATTTTGCTTAGCCTTGAGCTGGATTGCATTGGTACCTAGCACGTATGGCAACTTACTACTTAAGAATTTTCTGCCTAGATCATGGAAGAAAAATATACAATGGAAATTTTTTAGGAGGCAATTTTTTTGTGAATATTTTTATTAGTTAAATTTTATTCATATTTTTGGAAAAAAATAAAAATACACAAAAAGAAAAATATAATTTAATAGTGCTGTGCTGCTTTGGTGGAAATCAGACCAAGGCTTATGTGCCTATGTGTGTATATTTTAAATTCTTCCGCCCTAAGTTATAATACTGAATGTATTATTTCTTACACAAATTATAAAAATATTGTCACTCATGATTGCGTGTTATGTATAAGATGTTAAAATAAATCATTTTTATATTACTTCAATTTCTATTTGTAATGAAATTTTTAATGTAATCAGGTAATTTGTTTGGTAATGTTTTAATTTTACCTTAATAGTATAAAAAAATCGTGATTTTAAATTCATTAAGTTTTTTGAATTTAGTCAATTTTAGTGGGTTTTAGAATTTATTTAGGAGTATTATTTTTGAACGGGTTATCACTGGTTATAGCTTTAGTTATGTATAGGTAGAATTGTATACTTTTTTTTTTTAGAATTATTTTAGAATACTACGCCATTGTTTCGTCTACAAAAAGTAAATAAGTCGTTCATGGGGTAAAGTGTGCACATGTATAATAAAATCCCACAGTCGATATTAAGTCTGCCGCTTGACCAATTTAAATGTAAAATTAAAAATCAACTAATGATTAAAGCATATTATACCATTTCGGAATATCTCGACGTCGCCAATGTGTGGAGTTAATAATACTGTTGACACTCACGTAGGCTAGAATAAGACTATTATACCTGTATATTATATTGTACCCTGATATTTTTGAAAAGAGCAACTGTTGAGTTTCTTGCCGGTCTTTTCTCAACAGAAACCGCTTTCCGAACCGGTAGTACCTTACGAACCTATACACATAATCTTTGATGTAAAATTTGACGATTCATAAGAGCGCGCAAGCGTCTATTTGAATAAATATATTTTTGATTTTGATTTTTGATAGTAGATCGTTAGTGAAAACATTTCTTTTAAAAAAAATATAAATTTAGATTTGTGTCTATTATGACATTCATTTAAGTGTCTATTATGACATTCATCTGCAATTAAGCAATTGTCAGATTTTTAGAAATATGTTCAAGAACCGTAGCTTGACGAACCGTTTGCTGGTTTATTGGAACCCAACTAAGACAAACAGTTCTCGGTATGTAAGTAAATATCATTACAAGAATATAGTCCGAAATTTTCCTCCAATCCAAAAGTCCCAGCTTGCAAATGGATTGACAGTAGTAACACAAAATAGACAAAGCGTCAACACTTGCATCGGATTATACGTAAATGCTGGCTCACGTTACGAATCAAAGGAAGAAAATGGCATTACACACTTTTTCGAGCATATAGCCTTTAAAGGTACCAAAGCTAAAACTAAAACGGTCCTCAAAAACATGATATTAGCCACGGGAGCAAAGTTTCAATGCTTTACAACACGCGAAATGGCTGCATATTACGTAGAATGCTTGTCAGCGGATTTCTCTCATATTTTCGATATTTTTTTGGATTGCATCTTTAATAATGCTTTCACGTTTGAAGAAATTGAAGCGGAAAAAAAGACCGTGTGGTTAGAAATGATGGAGGAGGATAAAATTTATAACAAAATTTTATTTGATTATTTGCACTTGTCAGCATTTCAAGGTAACTCTTTGGCACAGACCATAATGGGGCCGAGTGATAATTTACATAAATTCAATTCAAAAATGCTTTGTAACCTTTTATATAAAAGATTTATACCAGGAAATATGGTTTTGACCGCAATTGGTAACGTTAATCATGATCAAGTTCTGGAATTGGCAAACAATTACTTAAAAAATATAAAATGTGTGGAACGTGACGACTTTAAAGAAGAAAGATTTACTGGCTCTGACATGCGTTACAGAGATGATTCATTGCCCATGGCTCACGTGGCTATAGCCTTTGAAGGGCCTTCTTTCTGTCATGATGATTACATTGTTATGAAACTAGCCCAAATGGTTGTCGGAGGATGGGATAAATCACAGCTTGGAGGATTAAATCATGGTACGCGCGTCGCACGAAATGCGTCTTACAATAATCTATGTGATTCGTACAAATCATTCAACATAAGCTACAAGGACACATCACTTTGGGGTGCACATTTCGTTGCGTCTAAGCTAAGTCTGGATGATATGACGTACACGTTACAAGATGAATGGCTGAGGCTGTGTACAATGATCACTGATGAGGAGCTGGAGACGGCAAGAAATCAGTTAAAAACGAAATTGTTCATAATAGCCGAGAGCGCATTGCAATTCAGTCATCAAGTGGGTCGATCCATTTTGTATCGCAAATGTCACCTACATATATTTGAAGCCGTTAACACCATAGATAAAATTACTTCCAAAGACGTGCAAACTATTTGCTACAAATATCTCTACGATAAATGCCCCGTTGTCGCTGCAATAGGCCCAGTTGAAAAAT